AGAAAAGTGGGGAAGCCATGACGTCAGATAAACAAATCGTCAATTCAGCAACGCATCCTTCAACTTTCAACTTCTTCCATCTGATGCCTGGGGGGGATGTGGAGCTGACCGTGGAGTATGACGTTCTGCTCTCCCTGGAAGAGTACCGCGTGCTGCATGGGAGCGGGGCAGACAGCACCGGGCGATTGAACAAGCGGAAAGCAGCGAGACCAATGCACCCACGAGGGCTTTTCCTCCGTTGGAAGAAGTGCGTTGTTTATTACGAGATCGATCCGAGTTTAGACGCGGGCACAGAGCGGATTATCCGAGAAGCAATGGACGAGTGGGAGAAGTATACTTGTCTTGTGTTTAAGATGAACACCAGCATCACACATCGTATACAGTTTAAAGACGGCGACGGCTGCAAGTCAAAAATTGGCATGCAGAAGAAACCGCAGCCTTTGTTGTTGGCACGAGGTTGTCGTACAAAAGGAATTATAGCACACGAGATTGGGCATGCCATTGGCTTTTTCCATGAACACATGCGGCCTGACCGTGATGAGTTTATACATGTTAATTTTGATGTGATTAAAGACCGCTTCAAGCCTGACTTCAAGAAGTACAGCACGAACTACATTGAAACCCATGGTACGCCTTACGACTATACGAGCCTGATGCATTACGGTAACGTTATCCCGGGGTCTATTCTCACACTGGATCCGAAATTCCAAGACCGCATTGGTCAGAGAGAAGGGCTCAGTTTTCAGGACATCGCTCTAGCAAACAAGATGTATAACTGTTCTAAGATGTTCTGTAAGGATCCTGACCAGTGTCCGAAGGGTGGTTTTAAGCTCTCATTGTCACTCAAAGGAAAAATGAAATGCCAGTGCTGGTGTGACTCAGGTGACCTCAAGGATCCGCTTGTACTGTGTTCCGAAAGAACGAAAGTGCCGCCCTCTCCCAGGCCTGTCATTCCATCTAAACCACCACCTACTGTGAGTAAACCATGTTTCGACCTCCGTCAAGACTGCGCATATTTAAAGGAGGAAGGAAAATGTATGTCTAGTATGGAGTTAATGATGGACTACTGTGCCAAGACCTGCAAGTTCTGCGGCAAGGGGGAAGGCATGTGTATGGATCACGAAAAAAGCTGCCCGCTAGCAGCGAGCGCAGGTTTGTGCATCGACCCGGGCTTCAAGCACTACATAAGGGTCATGTGTCCTGGCTCCTGCGGCCTGTGTGAGAAGCCTCCAAACCCATGTCATATTCAACAAGAGATGATGGGCTCAGACTTTGCTCTTGCTTCACGAAACAGAGCGGGGCGAGCAGGGTACATGCCCCGCGTCCTAGCCCTCAGCATGGGTCTGCTAGGACTGGCTCTACTACTGTGAGGACGCTGAGATCAAGTGGACTTACGTTGGGGGGAAATGGCATTGATTGATTCAGAATTAAGACAAGATTTCTTAACCAGCTTTTCACAGCATTTTCTTTTTTTTTTAAATAGTAAAGGGTTTTACGGCGCTCCCAACTGCATGAGGTCATATGAGCACTCAGCATTTTCTATTCTCTAGCGAGACTACAAACTCGATTGGCATGTCCATTTTTTCTCCTACATATATAAAAGTGAAAAAAGACTTTTCCTGAGGAAGCTCATTAAAATTAAATTATAAGGTGTATTCCAAAGTTGTTTGGATCTGTCTAGCTGTCCATATTCTATCATTCAACCATAGAAAGTATGATCAATTTCTGTGTGATAGCGTGAGTTGGAAACACAAAACATCAAAATAAAATAAAACTGAATCGATTAATACGGAAGCATCCAAATTTCAACATCTACATTCCCTTGTTTCGATTAATTATACAGTATTATTACTCGTATGCACTAGGGAAATGAATTCCATCTTTATGGACAACTATCATCATTTGTTCTCTCAAATTAAAATAGCGTTAAGAAGTAAAACATCTATGCTTTGGATTTATAGTAAAGGAATATACCATCTTAATTGTTCATTAAAATTATGAGCCTATTTGCGAGTGCAAGCATACTACATATGTGTATCAAGTGTGTGTGCGTGTGTGTGTATGTGTGTGTGTGTGTGTGTGTGT